ATAGTCTAAATATTATATAATAAAAAATATAACTTTTAATTAATTTTGTTATTCTTGTTATATTTTTTTATTCAATACATATATTGAATAGTATAAGAAAATATAAATTTATAAAAACAAAAATAAACTTTTGATTTTGTCATTATTGTTATCATTTTGGTTTGATACGTGTATCAGAAATTAAAAGTTTTTTAACAATAAACAAAACAAAATAAAATAAACTTTTAATTAAATTTCATAATTGCTCTCTATTTTGAAAATTTTGTTAATATAATACAAAGAACAAAATAAATTTCGTCATTTCAAAAAATTTGTTAAAAATAAAAAAAAAACAAAATAAAATAAATTTTTAATTAAATTTTGTTATTTCAAAAAATTTGTTTCTTTATTCTGATATGAATATTGAATAGTATTCAGAAACTGAATAATCTGTTAATAATAAAACAAAACAAATAAACTTCTAATAAATTTTATCAATTCGATATGTGTATTGAAAAAGCTATTTGTATCAAAATATAAAATATTAAGTTTAATAAACTAAATATAAATAGGCTAAGGGGTATTGTTTCACAATATTATTACTTTGTCATTCAGTATTGATATCTCTATTATGACTTATAAAAAAAATAAAGTAATTGTTAAAAAACCTGCTATATTACAAACAAAAAAATGTAAGTGTAGCAAAATACTATGTTTCTGTAGTATATGTAATGGTCAAGAAAAAGATCCAAGAGTTAAAGCAGAACATGAAGCACAAGAATAAAAACCTCTTAAATAAAGAAAAAATGTATTATATCAAACTACCAAGTTAGATATCAGCCAGAAGATACCTCTAACGGTGAAAGGTCTTCAATTATGATAAATGAAGTTGCTTTAATGAATCAGGATATTGCTTTCATAGGTTAGAATATTGGTTCACCAGATAGTAAAACATCAGATAATGAGATATACAATTTTTTACCTCTTTCTCAGCCTGAAAATCTTCAGTTTCTTGTCAAGCAGCTACTCAAAGATTTTTATAATGCAAAATTCTCTTTGTTTTATTCTGGTAAAGATTTGTTATTCTTTTCAGATGATTACAATAAAAATGATAACATTAGAAGTAATAAAGATTATGAACTGAGGAAGAAGAGAATATAATAAATTTTAATGTACCTGATGTAGTTGATAGCCCAAAAGCTAATATCTGAAATGTTAATGAAGATATGCTGTGAATTATATTATAGATTTTCTGTTACCAACAAAGATATTGGCATTTTGATAGAAGCATTAATGTTTTGTTTAAATATTTTTAGTTTTTGTTAACCAATATTAGCAAGGAAAAATATGATAGTTTTCCTACTTCAATTAATATAGCAAAAAATATTATTGGTATATCTGATTATGCAACAAGATTCACCGCATGCAAATCTTGTTATAAATTATATAATCCAAAAGATATTATAATAAAAAAGGCAAAACAAAATCTGAAAATACTTAATTGTACTCATGTAGAGTTTTCAAACTATACAAATATCAGCAGATATATACTATTTAGTGCAATACTTTTGACAAAAGTTAGGGTAAAAGATGGTGTAATCAGGAAGCTAATATTAACTTATCCTGTAATAAATCTCAAGCAATAGCTCCAAAAGCAATTCTAGCAACTAGGATTTAAAGAAGCATACAGGAGATAGGTCTATTGACTTTTCAAAGCCTAATTATTAGATATTTATGATAGCAGAATATAGAAATTATTCTCTGATGATGAAGGGATACTATTTTTTCATTCTGAAATAGCTGATAGCTATATAGGATTGATAATAAATTTAGATTGGTTTTAACTATTTAAAACTTCTTAATATAGTGTGAGGATTATATATGCTATTATATGTAATCTTCTATATCAAGAAAGGTATTTTTTTTTATTTTTTATTATTTTTTTTGTATATTCGATATTTTTTTTTTTTTTAATACATTCATTATATTTATTTTTTTTTTATACATTTGAAAAAAGAAAAATTGATACTAAATCATCAAACATTTGGTCAAATATTCAGCTACTGAATATTTGACAATTTAGTATCAATTTTTCTTTTTTTGACTAGTGATATAATCAAATATAATGTTAAATATAATATTAATTTATTATGTGTAAAAAGTTTAAACTATCCAATATAATAATATTAGCTATTATACCTAGACTATTAGAACCAAAACAGTATCAATTAAATCACTACTTGGTATCTATTATCAATCAGCTAATAGAACTTTAGGAAAGGATAGACCTATTGGCTATGTTTGAGTCTCTATCTTGCTAGAAAATCAGATATATAGTAATCTGTTGTTCTAGTAACTTACCTGCAGCAAAGAAATTTTGTAGGCATATTTCAGTTAAGCCTACATATTATTGCTACTATAAAAGAGCTAATTACGATATTTAAATCAACCTTATTATAGTAGTATTGCTAATATGAATTCTTGGTTTATAGAATGTAACTACTACTTTATTCGAAATGATGCAATAAATTAGAAAAATTGTAAAACTGCTGATTAAAGAAACAGCATATTTTCAATACTCTTGTCAGATGGTCAGAAATCTATAGACTTCCATACTTCAATTCCATTAGATTTCTGGTAGTGGATCTAATATATTGCCTCTTTTTAGAAATAGTCAAATAGATTATAACTAAATTATGGATTGAAGGTAACCTGTTTATTTCTGAAAAGTTAAAAACTATACAGCTATTAGCAGATAAAATTGATATACTATTAGACATTAGTAGAATCTCTTGTAAAATCTCTACCAGAAAAGAATTTTCAAGATTTACAGCAGATCAATAAAAGACTTTTATCCTTGTATATGCTACTATAATTTACTAGAATCTGTTATATGATACAGACAGAAAAATCCTTACTTATTTTATTTAGGTATGTAGCCTATTAGTTTGTAGAACAATTAATAAAAGAGATTTAGAAGAAGCACACCAATGTCTGATAGCCATGATAAAAATTAATGAAGAAATATATAGCTCTAAAAAAATTTCACCTAACCTTCATTTAAGCCTTCATATTTGTAAATATGCTTTAGATTATAGTCCTTTAAATTCTTTCTGGTGCTTCAGCTTTGAATGAATGAATGGATTACTGAGTAAATATAATTAAAAAAATTAATAATTAAAATAATAATAATAATAAAATAAAAATAAAAAATAATAA